TTGGCCAATTTCACACAAATTTCAACAGATCCCAATTTCAAAATAGGATCCAGAATAAACAATGCAGACATTCCTGGCACTAAAATAACATTTTCTCTGTTCATTAGTCACGGCTACAGGCCCCTCTTATATTACTCTTGCTTTCATTTGGAATTTTTATTCATAAAAAAATAGAAGATTTACTGTTATGCAGACTGCTGCATTATTGTAATAATTGTATAAATAATGTCAACCCATTCTTGAGTCCGTACTGGAATTTAGACTGGCAGGCGGACAGGTATTAGACGGTGACATCAGTTGTTTACTCTTGAGCTTCACTACAGAATAGAACATTTTCGCTACTGTGAGCGCAATTTCAAGGTACAGTGGACCCCCGCATAACGATTACCTCCGAATGCGACCAATTATGTAAGTGTATTTATGTAAGTGCGTTTGTACGTGTATGTTTGGGGGTCTGAAATGGACTAATCTACTTCACAATATTCCTTATGTTAACAAATTCGGTCAGTACTGGCACCTGAATATACTTCTGGAGTGAAAAAATATCGTTAACCGGGGGTCCACTGTACTTTTAGTCATGAAAGCAATCAAAATCATATCTATTTCTGTAATATATCTTTCATTCTATCAAATGAGACCGAAAAAATGAGAATATAACCATAACAACTATACAAAAATATACCGCTAAGCGGCCGCTAATGGCTGAGAAGTGAACTCCGCTATTTATGGTCTGATTTCTTTCAATTTTGGTGTACGTGAAGAAGAATCTTTCCATCATACATTGCCCAAGTTTGAATAAGATAACCCAACAAACAACTGAGAAAATAATATAATAATAAATAATAATAATAATAATAATAATATCTTTATTTACTACACGTACATGTACAAGGTATACAGGCCTAGCTGACATCAGTGACATACTACTGTATAGAAAGCCACTTGTTATGCAGAGTATTTCAAGAAAATTAGGTCAGTGTCCCAGGATAACACCCAAACTAGTTGGCTAACACCCAGGTTCCCATTTACTGATGGGTAAACATAGACAACAGGTGTAAAGAAACATGCCTAATGTTTCTACCCTCGCTGGGAATTGAATATTTACCAAAAATAATATATGGCTAACCCAAGCCAGGTACTAAAAATAAGCCACGTTGACTTTTTTTTGGGTTATCCTAGGTTCTCTACACATATGCTGCTATGTGTGATAATCTATACAGAGAAAATAACTTTTGTTTCAGGTTTATGGTGCAGTACGAGTGTATATGACAGTTAGCCCTGTGCTATCCTCCGTTTTCTCCAATATAAGCCACCGTATCCTCTTCATACCTCAATCGAACTGCTCGGTGTTAAGTAAGTAAGTACGTAAGTAAGTAAATTTATTCAGGTATACACAATACAGTTACATAGAATTATCATACATAGCAGCATATGTGTAGAGAACCTAGGATAACCCAAAAAAGTCAGACAGAGTGACTTATTTCCATTGGGGTCCTTTTACCTTATTATTATAATATAAAGGTTATAATATTTTCTTATTATTCTATAATGAAGATAACATCTTATTATCATACTAAAAAGACTATCTACTACACGAGGGTCATTAAGACTATCTACAATACGAGGGTCATTAAGACATCTACTACCGAGGGTCATTACGACTATCTACAATCGAGGTCATTACTAGGATAAGATAAAATTTACACGATTTTGCTAAAAAATAGAAAATCATTCCCCTCCCTTTCTGTTGCTTCATTCATCAGACACTTTTTGGCAGTCTTCTTGAACTGGTTCAGTTCAAGCTATGACTGGCCTTGACATTTGTGGGTAGTCTGTTCCATTCCTTTATTGCTGTACAATAAAAGGTGTTTGAAGCCTGGCCACTGATTGTGGGTACTACAAAGTTGTGCTCTCTCCCCCTAGTACTATGATTGCTTTGGTTCCCAACCTTGACAAAATTGACAGCAAGATATTCTAGACACTGTTCGTGAGCAATTTTATAAACATGATTTAGCTTCAGTTGTTTTACTCTGTCTTCAACATTCAGCATATCCAACTGCTGTAATTCATCCTGGCCTACATGTTCTCTTGGTCCCAGCCCCAGGATGAATCTTACGATTTTGTTCTGGGTGATTTGCAGTCTATCTTTCAGTTTTTTTGTCAAGGCAGAGTACCAAGAAGAGCAAGCGTAATCCATATGGCATTGTATAAGGGCTAGACATAGGGTCCTGCGAGCCTCAGTAGGTAGACACTGTGCTTGTCTATACAGGAACTTCAGCCTGGCATTCGCTTTCTTTACTAAACTGTTTCCCTATCAATTCTCCTGACATGCATGGGTCAAAGGGATTCCCAGATATTTAACTGATGAAACCAAAGTGATGGACTCCCCATTACACTGAATATTAAAATTATTTACCCTTCTCAGTTTATGTTTCGTTCCAAAGAGAATGGCTTCAGTTTTCCCTAGGTGTAATGATAGTTTGTTGTCTACTAACCATTTGCTGCAGGACTCCAGTTCCAGTGTTAAAACATTAGCAATATCTTGTGGGTCTTTACCTGTCACTAACAGAGCACTGTCATCTGCATACAGTAGGAGTTTGCACTTGACACTGATAGGCATATCATTGACATAACATAAGAATAGTAAGGGACCCAGAATACTACCTTGGGAACTCCACATGTTATCGGCAGGGGTTCTGATTCCGTTTTGTTGATTTTGACTATTTGTCTCCTGTTGCTAAGGGAGGACTTAAACCAGTCTACAGAACCTATACCGATAGCTTGAAGTTTCTTACATAATATATTGTGGTTGACAGTATCGAAGGCCTTTTGCAGGTCTAAGGTTACCATACCTATGAGGTTCCCTTTTGACATTTCAGTTCTCAGGTAATCCATCAGATTAATAAGGGAGTATCGGTTGAGTAGGATCTTCTAAAGCCCGATTGATAGCTATGGAGAATGCTGTTGTCATTAAGGTACTTAACTACTTGAGAATACACCGCCCTCTCCAGAATTTTAGATATTATACTGAGTATACTAACAGGTCTATAGTTGCTTACATCAGACCTATTATTTTTCTTGAAGATAGGAGTAACTCTGGCCTCCTTGAACCCCTCCGGTACAGTATTAGTGGTGATTGATAGATTTATTTATGTGAGCAATAGGGATTGACAGTTCAGAAGCACCATCTTTTAGGAACTTAGACGGGATGTTATCAGGGCCTGTGCTCTTAGTTGGGTTTAACCTGCTTAGTTCTTTTTGAATGAAGTCATGAGATACACTTACTAGTTGACAACTGTTTGGGGTTACCCCTTTATTGGTATAGTATGTTTGAAACTTATCAGAGTCTGTGTTAAAGGTATTTGATGCAGCTGGTAGTTTACTTACTAGTGTTGATGCAACAGATGTGTAGTAGGAATTAAAGCAATTTGCCACCTTAGATGTTTCGTGGCATACCTCATTATCGATAGTGAGTACTATGTTAGACCTATCTACTGGCTTATGGCTATACCCCAACTGTTTTAGTTGTTGCCAGAGCTTTCTGGGGTTATGCCAATATATTATTCATTCTGGAGTATTTAAAACATGTTTTATGTTATTTAATTGTTTCTTAGTCATATTAGATCAATTGTGATAGGCAAATAAGCTGTAGTGTTGATATTAGCGTAATAATAAAGCATATTCTCCTGCTTCATGAGACTGAGTTCATGACAACTGACAGTGGCTTCAAAGCCACCTTATCTTTAATGGATAATGTACTGTGTAGGTGCTTTACATAATGAGAAGCATTTCTTTTATTCACCAGAACCATGGCTAGGGCTAAAAGTAAGCAGGTTAAAACAATAAATGAAGAAAAAGAAATTGGAATGACTTATGCAGCAAGTAGCGCCACCAAACAGTACCAGCAGGTTGGTGTGGCGACCCTGGAAATTTGAAATTATGCTAGCCAAAATTAGTGCCGAATAACCGAAGTAACCAAATAACTGATAGCCGGATTTGTGATGGCGAACCTGTATAACTATACTCTCATACATTCCCCTCTTTGCTTCAATGGACAAATTTCTTTGTCTCCATAGACTCCAAAGTGCACCACTCGCCTTTTTCCCCGCGTCAATTCTGATTCACACCATCTTTCACAGATCCATCTGCTGATATGTCCACTCCTAAATTATCTGAATACATTCACCTCCTCCATACTCTCTCCCTCCAATCTGATATCTAATCTTTCGTTATCTAATATTTTATCCTCATCACTTTACTCTTTCCAATATTCACCTTTAATTTTCTTTTACATACCCTACCAAATTCATCAACCAACCTCTGCAACTTCTCTTCAGAATCTCCCAAAAGCACAGTGTCATCAGCAAAGAGAAACTGTAACAACTCTCACTTTGTGTTAGATTCTTTATCTTTTAACCACACCCTATTGCCAAGACCCTCGCATTCACTTCTCTTACAACCCCATCTAAAATATACTGAACACCCACGGTGACATCACACATGCAACATCCCAAAAATATATCAGTGAAGAAATTGATCCCAAGTCTAACAGAAAAAAAAAGATTAAATAATACACAGTAAATCAACTATTATTTCTTGATGAATTATTTAATCTTACCCGGCGGTCTTGCTGATACACAACACAATCAAGAAACGGGACATGCAAACACTGAGCACTATAAAAATGCACAATTATCCCGTCATATTAAAAATCTAGCAGTGCACACACACACACAACCTGATGGTGCTGGATAATCTACAGTATGTAAAAATTAAGACCATTACTCCCCAGAGAAAAAATGAAATTTTAGTTTACATTGGAAAAATAAATCAAGCATGTAGCAATGATTCATAAAATGAATGAAATGTTCCAAACAAATTTTGAAGGAAACATTAGCTGAAGATCTTCATTAAGACTTTCACACTGTTTCAAGATCTAAATGAATAATGAAGAAAAGCAAGAGCAAGTCGTGCACATTTTGCTAGTGTAATTACCAAGTTAAATATCAGAGTACTTGCTGCTGAGTCCTAGCTATTAACAAGCACAACAACAACTTCAGATTCCAAGTTAAATATCAGAGTACTTGCTGCTGAGTCCTAGCTATTAACAAGCACAACAACAACTTCACATTCAGGAGCTACCATCTAGATATGATAATTACCACAAGAGAAAACCTACCTCGAGTTGGTGGAAGCTGATGAGGTTGGTGGCTTCTTACCCTCCAGTGAGGCCAGGTGAGCCTCTAGAGCATCCAGCAGACTACTGGGGGCCTGAAGCAAGACATATATTACAATCATTTTGCTCCTGATTCCACCATAATAAAACATAACACTGCACAACATCCCAAAGAACCTATAATACAACAGCATTATGGCAGAGAAAACCAAGATCAAAATATTTCAATATTATTTTACTAAAACATTACAAAAATCTTAAACTGAAAAATAAACCAAATTTTACATTTCATGCTAATCACACTATATTTAAAAATTACTAAATTTAAAAACCTATCTTTAAGCTAAGCTCACTGCAAAGTACAATAACACAATAAGGCAACTCACCGAGGCTCCTTGTGACCAACGGTTGCATTCAGAGCCCTGGTTCAAGGTCATGCATCACAACAAAAACAAAAGCACTTCAAATCAGTTATTATAATACAGAAATTGAGGTTAAATGCATTAGATAAATGTCTACAGTGAAACATGCTGTTCAGAAATTGAAGAAGCACCCAGAAATTTTGTATGATGTTAATTACATAAATTACTAAGAAAACCCAAGCATACACATCTCTCAACTACAGCTGTTTAACCAACTTTTATTTAGGTTCATATTTTGTAAAAGTCTAGAGATTAAAAAGCAAGCTAAGTTTAATACTGTCTCATGCAAGACAGTGGCATTACATGCACATCAAAATATTATTATGAAAGTGGTACTCTGGTGTAATGTAATAGCTACTGTTTTAAATGTACTGAATACCATAAAACATCTTACTAGCATATCAGTCTATTTCCCCATTTTCTTTTCTACCAGTGAGACTTCAGCATTTTCTGACAAACAGAAATCTGTTTCAATGTTCAGTCTTCTATTTTACAAAAGCCTAAACATTTTCCACTATAAGAACTTTCCTCAAACTGAAGTTCAGGTGACATTTTCATATAACTAAGGTCCAAAGACCTGATTTACATTTTTTTTTTTTACCTCAACAGCAACCTCCTGCCAAGACAGGGTAGCCCAAAGAAAATATTCATGGTCATCCATTCAATCACCATCTTTCCAGAAATGTGCAAACAATCTGAGTCCCCTCTGACTATAGCATTCCCACCTCCACTGGAAGTATCGACATATTAATACACCAAAATTCTAGTGGCTTCAAATCAAGCAGGAGAAAGAATGCGAGAGAATGGGTCTCCATGGTCAGTGTGCACCATATAAAAAAAATCGGGGAGCCAGTGGTGCATTGTGGGAATGCCATTTCAGTAATCCACATTCATCATGCCTAGTGGTAAGAAATATCCGACTCCCCGGCAAATCTGGAATTCTTCTCTTCCCAAGTGATGCTCTAACACAGATGGAAGTGTCGGTGAAGATCAATGTCATGGTTCTGAGGAGTTTGTGACCAAAACCACTGCCCAGGATACCAGAAAAATGAAGGAGAATGAAGAATGAAGGAGAAAGAATGAGAGAGAGAATGAGAGAGAAAATGAGAATGAGGGAGAGAATGAGGGAGAATGATAATTAGGTAGGAGGATGGAGGGGAAGTGAGCATCGGACCCTACCGTTTTGATAGGCGGTGTGGGGAGTGAGTAATGATATATGTCATTTTGACAGCTGCCAGACCCTGACTCAGCATATTAGAAGTCCACACACACTCACACAACACAAGGTTGCAGAAGATAATAGCAGTTATATGAAAGTATCCAGTGACTACATATGTGCATATATATTATAGAATAGTAATAAAAAAATTTTTGTATTGTTTGTTTAAACAAGTTTTGTAAACATATTGATAATTATATTTGTGTGCTTAGTGTGTTGTATACAATGAGTGTATATATGTACATTACACCTTACATGAAAAAATAAAGAAGTGGAAAAAGCAAGATACCTTCGAATGGGAGTAAAAAAAGTTTACCGGGTGAGCGGCATTCGCTGCTGTTGCCATACGCGGCTCATTTTCTGCCAACTTTATGCCTCTGTATCTTGCTAAGTACTGATGGCAAAATTTTTTTTCTAGGGCTTTAAACAATCAGGAAAATCATCTTAACATTTTCTTAGGAAAAAACAGTTTTTTTTTTCGAATATTTTTTGACACCAGGAGACACTTCAGGATTTGGGGTTTCGACAATCAAAGGGTTAATCCTTTCAGGGTGGAGAGGCAAAATTTCAAGGGGTGCCCCAGTGTCCAAGAAATTTTGAAAAAAAAAAAAAAAAAAAAAAAAAAAAAAAATTCTTACAGAATTAAAGATAATATTTTTGTGAAGGTAATAAAACAAAAAAATTTCTGATCAGTACTTACCGAGATTGAGGTGAGAAGTTGACCCAAAATGACCGGGTGGCGGCAACATCAGTGACTTCCGCAAAACTGCATTTCATTCTAATTTTTTTCTTTTTCTAGTAACATTTGTGGCCTGTGAGACCAATACTGTACATAATGTATATATATACACTCACTGTAATGAACACAACTGCACTAAAATTATAATACTGTTTACCAATATTGTTTACAACATGCACAAATGTTTTATAATACTAATCTACATTATATATTTACGTATGTACAGTCAATGGACATGTTTCTAGAACTGCTGCAGCCAGTGGAAGTCCTTGAAACAAGGTACCATGCACAGAGGTACCTTACATTCCTCGCACAAACCTAGTCTCTTTGCGTCTTTGTTGCCGTCGTTTTGTTTGTGCACAGACAACACATCTCTTCTGAGCAAATTTCTTCTTAGTTGCAGGAAGCTGTATTATGAAGTGATCACCTTCCCTCCTCAAACGCTTGAGTATATCCTGAGGAGTTCGAGGACAGTTTTGTATAGCAGGTATTGTTACTTGGTACTTCATTATGCGTTGTCTGACAACAGAAAAACAAAATTCATCATACAGTGGTCTGTTCCCGGTCTTTATTTGGTACATATTATATGCATTGAGCACTGAAATCTCCACGAGATGAAAGAAAAGTTTCATATACCACTTGTAACTCTTACGAACACAATCAACAAAACCAATCTGCATGTCACATTTGTCAACCAAACGCATGTTTTGTGTATAATCAATCACTGTCATTGGTTTTCGAATAAGTTCATTAGTCACTATCAACTTTGCCACTGTCTTGCATTTTCGTTAGGTGAATGGTTGTCAACAATCTGACATCTCGGGTCATGCCACCGTAATGCCATGATGTCATTGGCAGTAAACACCTGCACCTCACCAGCACGAGTGCCTGCATTGAACCTGGGCATATGTTTACGATTAGAACGCACTGTGCCACCACACATCTGTCATGTTCGTCAAAAGAAATCACTGAGTTAAAGGGTGTGTACCAGTTATCAGTATATAATGAAATGCCCCTTACCAAAGTAAGGTGCCATCATGTTTCTCACATGTCACCTGAGTTTACCCAATAACTCCTGTTATCTTTCAATGTTTTACCTCCCATGTATACAATAATATCCAATACCAGGCCACTGTCACAGTCACAGAGTACAAACAGTTTTATACCAAAGTGTTTCCTCTTGCTCGGTATATACTGCTTGAACGACAGTCTACCTTTGAACAAAACAAGACTCGTCAATTACAAGATTCTCGAATGGTAAAAGTACATATTGGAACTTTTGTTTCAGATACATAAAAACATTTCTAATCTTGTAATAACCTGTCACTTCTGTCAGGCCTGGTTTTTTGACAGAGAAGTGCAACATGTTTTTCACTGAGGGCCGGGGGGTACAAAATTAGCCGATCTGTGGACCAGTATGATTTTTTATTATGCTTAAAAGACACGAGGCATAAGCATTATTGTTGAAAAAAAACAAATACATTTCAGCCACATTTTGTCTTTTTCCCACTGGTGTAGTCTTGACTATGGGATATGATCCTATTTGCCATGGTGTACCCCAAAATATTTGTTACTTTCCCCTAAACAATAAATTTCCTTCAAGGGCTGGTCAAAGAACATTCAAAGAATTCCAGTTCATTTGCAGTGTTTCCAAGGGAACAAGCTGGTAGGTTTTCCACTGAGATTCATCAAACTGAGGGGGATTGGGAACAAAATTGGGATTTTGCTGCCAATCCCAGATGCGGTTTGCTGGTGGATACTGGACATCATAAGCTGGTTGTGGTGGTAGTTGTAGTTGTAGTGTGGTGTGGTGTTGTGTGGTGTTGGACACGACTCCGTTTTGGGTCCTTGAGCTGAGGAGTCAGCAGCGTGGGTCCCAGCCTGGGCTGGCAGTCATGCATGGCCGTGGCACACCATCACCACTACCACCACCCACCACCAATACCACCACCTTTTGATGCCTGTGGTCTATCCATGCCAAGTGTAGCCACAATTATCCTCACTTTCACTGTCTATTCCTGGTGTAGGGCCACGGGATGTACCCAGGATGTACTCCATCCCTGGGCACTACATAGGGAACTACTACTCGAGCGCATGCAGTGGCGTATATACCGACGCCCCCACTGGTGAATATGATTCATCACTATCACTACTCGAATGATAAAAAGAGCAATAAAACACAATCCACATCACTATTTATCTTTTTCTGTGTCTGAGGCCTGGCTACACGAAAATATTAGTTTTCTCTTGCGACGAGGTACAACTAATGTGACAGAGACGTGCCCACAACCAGAGGTAGAAGGTTGAGGATTGTCAAGATTTTCTGCACTAATTTCAGTATTCCCGGGCCCATTGTTTTCCCAGTCACTAATTGATAAAACCCCATTGAATTTTTTCTTTTTTCCACTTCAATCAGAGTCGGGAACAATCAGTTACGAAAGGGGGAAGTCCAATTCCCCCTAAAAGTGCGAGCGGGCCTTCCCGGCGAGGCATGGTGAAAAAAGGTTACTGAGGGGGGTATTCCCACAATGCCTTTGAAGGGCCTAAATTTTTTTTTATGGCACACACACATCACAAGCCTGTTGTCTAGTTTAAGCCTACCACCCTTTCGGCGCAAAAATTTTGACCCCCGTTTAGAATTTTGGCATAACTACGGTTTGGACCCTAAAAGGGGTTTTAAAATCCTTTCAACGTTATTATGAACATCCTTTTCAATAAAAAAAAAAAAAATTAAATTTTTTGTTATAAAATTCTTTTTAAATTTTATGTCGAGAAAAATAGGGGTTGCTGGAGCCCTGATATAGAGTGGTTACGCAGTTTTTCCCCGGCCCTTTTTCCCATTTTTCCTTTTTCCCAAATTTCCCAACTGGTGTTTCAGTTGTTCAAAACCAGTATCCCAAATTGGCCCAAACCTGTAATGTTTTTTTGGAAAAGGAAGAAAACAAGAACTAAACTGATGGTTATGCATCGCCCCTGACACCCTTGAACGCAAGAAAATTTCCCATTTGACAGGGGGATATTGGCCCACTTTCAGACCAAAAGTGACTTGAAACAAGTCTCAAAAAGGGAAAAAAATATTTTATTTTTTGACTTTTTTCCCCTGGGGAAAGCTCAAAGCACCACTATTTCCCTTCCGTGTGTTTTTTTAGGCTTTTAAAAAGTCTGTTTAAATTTATTTGGGAAATGGTCTAAACTACAACCAATCTTTCTTAGCTATATTTTACTTGTGTGTTTAAAAATTTTAAATTTTTTTTATTTCTATTATCTTTTACAAAGATAAAAATATTTTACACATAATAAAACACAGTTAGGCCCCAAAAGGAAAAGCTACTGTTTGCAATGAAATTTCAAGCAAAACAAATTAAAAATGCTTAAATTGTTAAGAATTAGACAGACCTTTATGGAAAATTTTTTTATGCAGTTAAGGGAATTGAAAAATTTGGGAAGCTAAATGAAAAATGGTAAAATTTTTTAAAAAGTAGGGACTTATTTAAATAACTACATTTAAATTTTCATAATAAAAAAGGGTAGCTAATGAATGAAAGGTACAATTTTTTAATTATGATTTATTTTTTTTAAAACGATTCAACGATTTTTCATTTTTTGTGGAATGTTTGAATGAGCTGATGTTTCAACCCGGTTACTTAGTTACAGTCATATATAATGGCACAAGGTGAGTACTTTTTTTTCTATGGGATTTTGGAGGAAGAGGGGAAGAAAAACAGGGACAGAGTTAACAAGTTGGTTTTTTTTAAATGAAATTCTCATTTGTGGTTCAGTTCAGTTAAAGAGATGAGGTGCTTTTTTAACCCCAACAGCGGGGGGGCCTTTGGGGATGTATTTATTGAATAGAAGAATGATTAGCCCTTTGGGGGCCCAAAGGGGCCCAAATCTGGGTCACGAACCATTTTAAAAGATATTTAAAAAAAAAAAAATTTGTTTTTTTTCCCTTATGAAATCGTAGAGGGAACTTTTTGTGAAGGTAAAAAACCCAAAAAAAACGAAAAAGGTGGAAAAAATTTACGAAATTTTGCTCTCGCGAATTTTGATGTTCAGCGATATTTAAAATCGGCGATTTTTTTCCCACTTTTACCCCCCTATTTTTTTGGGGCCCAAATTTCTTATTCCAATCAAAACCAAAAATTTTTAGCTTTTTTCACTAAAATTTTTACTTCTATTTTTTAAACGATTTTAGCACAAGGGAAATCGCCAAGTCAACTGTTTCAACTACCCAAAAAAAAGTGATCGGGAAATTTTTTAATTTGGGGCCCTTTTAACGCAAAAATTCAAAAAATTTTCCCAAAATTTTAAAATAGGGTTCCCGAAAGAAAAAAATGTAGGCATTCCTGGAAATAAACTAACTTTTTCCCCTGTTCATTTGTTATGTTTTTTAGGCTTTTCAAATAAATTCCCTTTTGGTTTTTTATTTTACAAATTTTTTTTCCCCACCCAAAAAAAAGAAGATTCACTGTTATGCAATACTGTTTTAAAAATTGTATTTAAATTTTCATCACCCCTATTTTTGAAAGTTTTATTAGACCCACCCCGCTGGCCCTGTATTTAGACGTGTAAAAGGCGTTTGTTTACCCCTTGAATATCGGCAAAAATTTTTAAAATTTTTTCCCCAAATTTGGCTCAAATTTTTCAAGCCATTTCCAATGCTAAAACCAAACAAAATCATCTTATTTCTGTAATTTCTTCCATTCTATCAAATGAGACCAAAAAAATCGCAAATACAAAATTAAAAAAAAACTACGAAAAAAAAAACTGCAAAGGGTTTCTGTTTTAAACGAAAAATAATTTATTTCATTTTTTTTTCTCTCTTTTTGTTCAGTGTGCTGCAGGATCTGTTTTATTTTGGGGGCAAAACTTTCCACATGAAGTATTCCCCCTCTTTCCAAAGGCCCCAAAATTTCCCCTCACAAATTTTTTTTCAGAGGAGCTGAGCTCATGGCGTAGAAAATAAAGGTTTTTGGGCCCTGAACGTTAAAAACCCCCTAGATTTTCCCGGGGCGGGCCCGAAAGGGTTAAATGGGAGGAAAAGCCCACAGTGTTGTTTGGGACCCGTTTTCTAGGACTGGAATTTATTTGGGTTTTGTGTAAAATTGCTAAATTTTCCAAAATTCGTTTCACCCTTTCTAAAAATTTTTTTGGACAGTTAAATCAAATAGAAAAAGAAAGGGATAACCCATCGAAAAATTTCCGGGGAAATGGTTTTTTGTTTGAGCAATGTAACTGGCCCCAAAGGGGTGCAAAAAAATTTCCCATGAATAAATTTTTCCCGAAACAGGTTTTTATGCCCCGTTAATTCTGAAAGTTTATTTTCAAATTCAATACTTTTGTGTCAAGCCTTCAGAAAAAGATTCCTGCTTAAAAGATAAAATTTTTACCTTTTTTTTTTTGAAAAAAATTTTAACAGTAGTGTTTAACCCCTTTTTTGGGTTGGTGCCGACTAAATAAAAGCTTGCACGCCAGGGTTGGTGCCATCCAAATACAAAAGTGAATTCTAGCTGCTTCAAATTAAGCGGGAAACAGCTGGTAGGCCTAGATGCAAGAGAAATGGGTGTGCATGGTCGGTGTGCGTGGTATAAAAAAATTCTGGGACCCAGTGGCGCATTGTGGGAACGCCATTTTAGTATACCTTGTTCACCATGCCTCGCAGTAAGAAGCTCCTCACTCCTCGGCGAATTGGGACACTTTTGTTTCCCAGTGACGGGTTTCTAATACAGAGGAAGTGCCAGTGAAGTTGAGTTTCAAGGTTTTGATGGGGT